TTCAAATACCTTGTATTCCAGTGTTTCTTTCTTTCTTTCTCTTCTTCTTTGTTTGTTTCTTTGTTTGTTTGTTTGTTTCTTTCTTTCATATACCTTTATGCCAATGTTTTTCTTTGTTTGTTTGTTTCTTTTTTCTTTTCTTTCTTTCTTTCTTTCTTTCTTTCTTTCTTTCTTTCTTTCTTTCTTTCACATATCTTGTATTCTAGTGTTTCTTTCTTTCTTTCTTTCTTTCACATACCCTTTATCTATGTATCTTTTCTATCTATGTTTGTCGAGGTGGAAATTTCTATAATGTTCAATATTTTGTAACAATCTTAATGCCAAAGTTTCTTTGTTTTTCTTCTTCTTAATAAATAACTTTTATTCACGCATGCTTAATCTAAACATAACTTACGAAAAATGAAAGGTTTACCTCGTGTCTTTTTCAGAAAAATCTTTAAAATACTTCCCCCTTCTTCAGTGCTACACACTACTTCTGTGATTCGTCTGAACTTGGTTGATCTCACTCAGTCATTAATCCATGCTTCTAGACGATGTGTCATAAGTAAACCAAAAGTGGGTAATGTCACTGGCGTGGCTATCAAATGAGCCAACCCCTAAACCGAAATTTAGACTCCCCACTTTAGTTGTTGCATCGTGTCCGAATGTAAATTCGGTCTAGAAACATGAATTTATATGGAACTGTTGATTATTATTGAGTTTTTTACAGAGTGATCTTAGCATTTAATCTGTTCGAAGTGTCTCATGGGATTACCATTAACATTTGCTGTCAAAATGTCTGCTATCAGTTTAAAATTGAATAAAATATTTAGTAATGATTTTAGCATTGGCAGATCAATTGAAATGATCAGTATATTTTGTTCACAATTTTCTCAATGGCGTAGTTAAAATATTAATCAATTGTTTATCCGATTAAAATCTCTTCAAACTAGCCAATAAACCCTTTTTTTCTTATCTTTATCATATTAATATATCGTATAAAACACTGGCAACATACCTGACTTTTTCGTGGGCATCGAAGCGCTCTTCATCAAGAGAATAAAACATTTTAAGAAGTTTTTAGTAGTCTATCTATCTGGTGGTCTTCAAAAGAACACTTCTGATGGCGTCTTTCTATCAATTTCTGTCATCCATAGCGCTAAGCATTTCTTCTGTTCTGATTCCAGTAACGTCCACCAATGAAAGTGTTTGCTACTCTACCTTTTGACCCTGTCACATAATTTGGATTTCATAGTATATTATAAGTATTATAAGTACTGGATCCCATAGTATAATCTGATGAACAACTTCTGGTTCACTTCTCCAGCAATGTCCTCTAAACCGTACTCGCTTTTCACGGACTTTAATTTGTTGCAACTCGCTGAAGCGTGTTGAAATGCACACAGTATTTAATATTATTGAAATTATCGCTACCATTTTTGGTCGAGATCTGCAAACTCTACGTTTCGTTCAATTTCGCAAACCAATCCATGAAATTTGAATAAACTGATTTGTTTGGAAAAATACTCTGACAAAAACCCTATTTCGTAGTTTAATAATTTTTTAATTTAATTCTATAGGACATCATGGTAAACAATATTTAAATTTTTCTTTTTTCCTTTTTAACAGTGAAGAATAAATTCTTCAGAATTCTTACTCTTTAGCATGCAACATTCAGCGGCTCATGGGTAAATATTTCTTTCTTGAGCCAAATTGCAACTTTTGAAACATTTAACCTGACGAACTGAAAACTGGATTCTTAAAGAAAAGATATGTAAAAAAAAAAAAACAATATTGCATTATTATTAAATAAGTATTTCTTATTTTAATCATTAAATTTTTTTAAAATAGATATATTTAGGGATATTTGTATGTTAATTGATAAAATAAACTGTTCATTTTTTCCAAATAATTAATGAAAATTTATTTTACTAAGGTACCTTCTTCCCAAAATTTGGTTTCGATCGATCAATGTATGGCTATTTTAGAGGGTGTGACAGACGAACGGATGGAATAACGGAAATCATATAATTTTGCGCACACACACATTAGATAGATAGATAGATAGATAGATAGATAGATAGATAGATAGATAGATAGACTGGTTGATTGTGTCCGTAATCATTGATAAATAATACAAAGTAAAGTCTTAATAATCTGAGAGTGTTTGAATTTTTCTCAGTATCCAATAAACGGGACTATCTCCGAGAACTGACGCGTTGGTTCGTGAATTTAATGGCATAGTAATTGTGAGTTCAATCCCTGCACCGAGTAGTACAATTTCTGACTCAGAGGAAACAGAGCGAACAATAATTCCACAGAGGTTAAAAAAAGGGAAACATGATAAAATCTCTCCCAATTGAAGTTGAGGAACGAGAACAGGCCCAAATTCACGGAAGCATATCGGTTCGACATTACCTGAAGAAGGTCGAAAAGCGCAACGGCTGAAACGTGGTGACAATGGCAACAAAGATGAGGGCAATAGTACGCTTGTAATTAATAAGAAATGATAAGTCTTGAGAACAAAAATCAAGCACAATCTTGGCAGACACCTGAAGAAGGTCGGAAAGCGCAGCGACCGAAACGTTGTGACAATAGAAACAAAGATGGGGACAATATAACGATTGTAAGTAATGTAAATGATTATAAGCTTCGAGGAAAAAAAATCAGACATTATCTTGATAAATTTCTCTCTCCCCTATATATATTTTTTGAGAAAAAAAAATAATCCGAATATTTCAGTTCTTCCGATGATATAGAATAGGTGACAGGAAAAAGCAGCTTTGGCGTATATAAAAAGAAAAGGCATGAAACAAAAAACAAAACAAATACAGAAAACAATACTATATTGATTAGATGCTTAATAACGGCATTGCTTAATTATCTTGTTTATTAACGTTTTAACAATCACTGAGGATCTCTTAGCAGTATGAAGACAGTGCGGAAATTCCTCAGACAGATGAAACGCATTTGGATGTTAAAGAGAGCTAGGTAGATAAATCGCTAACATGTAGCTTCTTCTGTTGACTGCAATTTGATCGTCCATATATTATCACGTACCAAGTCGGTAACTTTCTTTATTTACGAAAATTTATTTGGAAAAAGAGACTTTTATTTTAAACTATTACTTTTCTTATGAAGTCTTTATATCAACAATCGGAGCATTATTTTTTTTGCTCATAAGCGCAGGAAACATGAATGCCACATATTAAACCATACTCAGTACCTCCAATCTGTGAGTAATATGTCAGCTTTTTAGCAGCTGACCCGAGACAGCTCTGTCTAAATCGACTGTATTTATTTCCGGTGGTTGGTTGGTTGATTTTGTTTAGCGGCATATCAACACCTCTATGCCGAAATCTAAATATCTTGAACACAATTTTATAGCTTCAAATAAATATATTTTTGTTAAATAATAGCAGACTGTTATTTTTTTAGAGGAAGTGTATCTCTGCTCGGACTTGCTGAGATTGACCTTAGGGATCAAATAGAAGACAAAACAAGGAAGTTGATTTTGATTGTCTGAACGAGCGTGGGAATGATAGAGATATAGAAAGTTTTTTTGTTGTTTTTCAGTGAGTTGTTTCTTAACAGTCAAGCAATGTAGACGCGTTAACTTTCGTGTCTGAATCGACTCCCCAGTGAAGGGAGAGAGGAACCCCACTGGCTAGTTAGAAGATGTATACGTCGGTGGCAATAAACCAGTTAAGTTAAAATTCCCTGTGTTGAAGTTCTTTTATCTCTGGAGTCAAGACAACTAGCGATCACCGGCCGAGAGAAATGAATGCAACTTTATCATTATCGAATCGAAGCCATCGTCCAAGACCTCCCCAGAACGAGGGGGCTATGCAACATTTTAAACGCAATTTTATGCCTTCAACAACAGATTAAATGTATTATTGCTCTTTTCTTCCACAAAATTTATAATTGGAAATTCTACTATAAATATGTGTTTTTGGTAATGTTTTATATAAAAATGTATTGCTTGTATTTTTACGATAAAATGTATTTTTATACTTTCATCGTGTTTTGATTTTTTTTTGGGGGGTGTCATTATTTAACCATAGCTGGGATCCTAACAGGTGCTACCACCCTATGACTGGTGGGAGGGGGCTGGGAACAACAGCAATTAAGAGGCCGTTCCACGTTCCTTAAAACCGCCAATCTCCCGATCAAGAGGCTTTGCTGCATATCGAGGACTAATTTTCCTTTTCATGTGTGTCTGTGGCTATTGGATAGTTCCCCTTATGGTCACATCAGTTCGGAGTCGCTAATCCGATCCCCTGGTCCCATGGTGAGTATCCGGAAGTGGCACTCTCTCCCCTTAAATTGGTTTTGAAACCCTAGGTAGATGGATCTTCTACACCGTAGCGAAGGCAGCCCTCTTCGAAGGAAATCTCCGATATAAAAGCCATAACGTGTGGGTATAAATTCTAGGTTTGTATCTTGCACGTGTAAATTCATCTCATCGTGACGAAAATACTTCAAAACATACTTGCGTATAAATGTTTCCAAATCTGGTGTCGGAGTTTGCTCTCTGGCAGCACGAAAGTGTAGGCTGATAAAATTAACATGGAAGTATAAATATATATATATATATGTGTGTGTGTGTGTTTGTGTTTAAATAAATATGTTTCATTGAATAATATAGACATATTGTGTTTATTTATTTTTATACTGAACCATTACCCCACGAAGAAAAAAGCTTCAAATTCTTGGTGCCCTCTGTATAAAAATGAAACAACCAACAATCAACAAAAATTATTATGAGTGAAGCAGCTACGTATTGAAGTGCATATCACAAACATTTAATGACATTTTGCATTTCTACCAATTTCTGGTCAGTTCCCTTATATTGAACGCGTTTTTTTTTTCAAAAAATTTAATAACTAAAACGGGTAAATTAATTTTTAAGTAACTATAATAGCGCGTATTTTTAAAATTTATAATCACAACGGAGAACAGATTTTATCGCAGTTACAAAAGGTTCGTCTTTGCAATTTACCCCTGAAGATGATCTTAGAAAAGATCAAAAGTACATGGGTTAAAAAATAAAAAACAAACTTCGACGCCTTTCTTGATGAATTTCATCTTAACATCAAGAAACTTAGAGAAGTGGAGAAATGAGTATAGACACAATATGTCTATATTATTCAACGAAACATGTTTGGATAAAGATATCTTGTCTAAATATATATATATCATTGAATTTGCAATTGTGCTGACATTAGCGAGAGTAATATCACCTGTAAATGAAAATATCTAAACGCAATCTTGAAAACGAAATCAGAAATCTTTTAAAAGAGTTTAAAC